AAACTCCAAATATACAGCAGCAGGCGTCAGCGTTGGGATCGAACCCACAACCTCCTATGCACCAGGCGAGGTAGTTAACATCTCCTAGCCACCGCAGTGGCCTGCTGATGGAAGGTGAATCCCTGCTGATGCGGGTCACACTACGCGAGGCAGCTCAAGACCTGACAGAGTCACCACTCTGGTTCGGGCTGGAGAGGGTGCTCGGCCTACTCTTCCAGCTCGCTGGGAGTTGCTCCGCCGGCTGTTAGACTCAACTATGAGAGTGTGTAAGTAAGTGTGTGAGTGTGTGAGTGAGTGTGTGAGTGTGTGTGTGTAAGTTAGTGTGTAAGTGAGTGTGAGTGAGTGTGTGAGTGTGAGTGTGTAACTGAGTGAGTGAGTGTGTGCATGTGTGAGTGTGTAAGTGAGTGTGTGTGTGTGAGTGTGTGAGTTAGTGTGTGAGTGAGTTAGTGTGTAAGTGAGTGAGTGAGTGTGTAAGTGAGTGTGTGTGTAAGTGAGTGTGTGAGTTAGTGTGTGAGTTAGTGAGTGTGTAAGTGAGTGATTTTGTCAGTGAGTGAGTGCGTACGTGTGAGTGAGTGTGTGAGTGTGAGTTAGTGAGTGTAAGTGAGTGTGTGTGTGTAAGTGAGTGAGTGTGTAAGTGAGTGAGTGTGTGAGTGAGTGAGTGTGTGAGTGTGAGTTAGTGAGTGTAAGTGGGTGTGTGTGTGAGTGTGAGTCTGCGTGTACTCGTCGATTCTCACACCCATGTGGCACATTCCTTTGCCGGGTCATCACAACCACCAACACCACCACCAACACCACCATCATCACCACCACCAGCACCACCACCACCATCATCACCACCATAATAACCACGATCACAACCACCATCATCACAACCACCACTAACACCACCACCAACACCACCACCATCACCACCACCAACACCACCACCATCACCACCACCAACACCACCATCATCACCACGATCACCACCACCATCATCACCACCACCACCAGCACCACCACCATCACCATCACCAACACCATCATCACCACCACCACCAACACCACCACCATCACCAACACCATCATCACCACCACCACCAACACCACCACCATCACCACCACCACCACCATCACCATTACCAACACCACCATCATCACCACGATCACCACCACCATCATCACCACCACCACCAGCACCACCACCATCACCACGATCACCACCACCATCATCACCACTACCACCAACACCACCATCATCACCACGATCACAACCACCATCATCACCACCACCACCTTCGCCACGATCACCACCATCACCACCACGATCACAACCACCATCATCACCATCACCACCTTCGCCACGATCACCACCACCATCATCACCACCACCACCAGCACCACCACCATCGCCACGATCACCAACACCACCACCACCACCTTCGCCACGATCACCACCACCATCATCACCACCACCACCACCACCATCGCCACAATCACCACCACCATCACAACCACCATCACTACCACCATGGTCACCACCACAATCAGCACAACCACCACCACAATCAGCACAACAATGCTGGGACGCTGCGCTGAGGGTCCCGGTTCGATTCCATCTCCTGGCGCGGCAGGTTAACAATGGGGGGGGGGCGGGGGGGGGCTGAGCGATTTGCGATTTTTCTGACAGATCGATTGCGATGGCGATTTGCGGTTACATTGTTTCAAGTCAAGCTTCAGTTCAACATTGACTGTGTAATAGATTTAAAGCATGTGATGGAGCATTACCACGTGATACCATCACAATATGAACTGCTCTTTATATTCTAATGCAAGGCTGAGAACGTAGACGATATTAATTGCTTCCAACATGTATTTATTAAAATGTTTTAATTGAAATAGAACAATCAAACATAGAACAATTGTTAAGTTAAATAAAAAAAAAGTTATAATAAATAAAACAATTCTAATAACAAAGTTAGAGGACTTTTCAAATCGCTAAAAATCGCAGCCTTTACGATTTGCTAATCGCATTGTTTCTAATTGCGATTAATCGATTTGAAATCGATTAATCGCAATTAGAAACAATGCGATTAGCAAATCGTAAAGGCTGCGATTTTTAGCGATTTGAAAAGTCCTCTAACTTTGTTATTTGAAATCGATTAATCGATCATCCCTAGGGGGAGGGAGGGAGGTTGCATCACAACCCACCTGCCCTCCACACGCGCCACTACCGCATCTGCCCCCCCAATTTGGGGGCACGGGGCACACCCCCAGCCGCAGAAGTGGACGATTGCTAGCCTCGTCACGTGTCGTGGTGGTGGTGGTTGTTAGTGGTTGTAGTTGTGGTTGTTGTTGTAGTGGTGGTGGTGGTTGTTGTAGTGGTGGTTGTTGTAGTGGTGGTGGTTGTTAGTGGTTGTAGTGGTTGTAGTGGTGGTGGTGGTTGTTAGTGGTTGTAGTTGTTGTAGTGGTGGTGGTGGTTGTTAGTGGTTGTAGTTGTGGTTGTTGTGGTGGTGGTTGTTGTAGTGGTGGTAGTTGTTGTAGTGGTGGCTGTTGTTGTTGTAGTGGTGGTTGAAGTGGTGGTTGTTGTAGTGGTGGTGGTTGTTGTGGTGGTGGTTGTGGTGGTTGTTGTGGTGGTTGTTGTGGTAGTGGTGGTGGTTGTAGTAGTGGTGGTGGTTGTAGTTGTAGTGGTGGTGGTTGTTGTTGTAGTGGTGGTTGTTGTTGTAGTGGTGGTTGTTGTTGTTGTTGTAGTGGTGGTAGTGGTGGTGGTGGTTGTATCTCTGCGCTATTTCGAGACGAGTATTTTTATTTCTGGCACCGAGACTTTTACACTCCCTGCGGTAGCGTCTCACACGGCCCACTCAACTAGCCTGCAACTAGCCTGCACGCAACAGCAGCAGCAGCATCCTCTACTGTGGATGGACAAGGAAAGAACCACTGGACAGGGCCCTCGTCGTAAAACGTCGACACGAAACTCGGCGGGGCCACCCCGCGGGGACGATTTGTGAAAGTCCGCGGATGACATTCCACACAACCCTTCAACCCCTTCACGGACGCGGAGTTCACGACGCAGTCACGGGCACCACCACCACCAACAACAACAACAACGACAACAACAATGTTTAACTGCCCCACCGTACCAAGTACTCATTTGAGGCTGAGTCGACCTAGGGGAGGCCCAGGATGACATTCAACACAACCCCTTCACGGACGCGGAGTTCACGACGCAGTCACGGGCACCACCACCACCACCAACAACAACAACGACAACAACAATGTTTAACTGCACCACCGTACCAAGTACTCATTTGAGGCTGAGTCGACCTAGGGGAGGCCCAGGATGACATTCAACACAACCCCTTCACGGACGCGGAGTTCACGACGCAGTCACGGGCACCACCACCACCAACAACAACAACGACAACAACGACGACAACGATGTTTAACTGCACCACCGTACCAAGTACTCATTTGATGCTGAGTCGACCTAGGGAAGACCCAGGACCGGTTCAGATAATCGTCACTCGTGGTGTTGGCCGTGAGCGGGAATCGAACCTGGGTCGCCGGGTTCGTAGCGCAGCGTACACAAAAATTATGTGTATGTGCTGCGTGTACACATACTCACACATACACACACATACACACACACATACACATGTGAGCACACGCATTCACCCACACAAAACGTGTTCAAAATTGTACACACACCAAAACGTGTTGCAAGCGAGTGCAAAGACAAAGCTCCCCCGTGTAGCCTTAACAGACTGTTGGGGCAAGTGCTGTTAGCGAGTAGCGGCGAAGGCTACCGGCACTGTGGGTTGGGTGTGTATACGTGTGTGTGTACACGTGTGTGTGTGTACACGTGTGTGTGTGTACACGTGTGTGTGTGTACACGTGTGTGTACACGTGTGTGTGTGTACACGTGTGTGTGTACACGTGTGTGTGTGTGTACACGTGGGTGTGTGCACACGTGTGTGTGTGAACACGTGTGTGTGAACACGTGTGTCTGTGTGTACACGTGTGTGTGTGTACACGTGTGTGTGTGTACACGTGTGTGTGTACACGTGGGTGTGTACACGTGTGTGTGTGTGTACACGTGGGTGTGTACACGTGTGTGTGTGTGTACACGTGGGTGTGTACACGTGTGTGTGTGTACACGTGTGTGTGTGTTCACGTGTGTGTACACGTGGGTGTGTACACGTGTGTGTGTGTGCACGTGTGTGTACACGCGGGTGTGTGTACACGTGTGTGTGTACATGTGTGTACGTGTGTGTACACGTGGATGTGTGTACACGTGTGTGTGTGTGTACACGTGTGTGTGTACATGTGTGGACACGTGTGTGTGTGTGTGTACGCGCGTGTGTGAACACGCGTGTGTGTACATATGTGTGTGTGTGTGTACACGTGTGTGAACACGTGTGTGAACACGTGTGCAAACATCGCCCCTGGGGAGACAAAGGCGCTCGGGCATCGTGCTGGCCACCCACCCGTGTAACGAGCAGGCTATACGGGGGGTCTTTGTCTTTGTACACACACACACACAAAGATCCCCCGTATAGCCTTAGCAGACTGTTGGGACAAGTGCTGTTAGCGAGTAGCAGCACCTATGAAGGCCGGCACTGTGGCACACGAGGGGATGGGTGGCCAGCACCACGCCCGGCCGCCTTTGTCTCCCCAGTGGCGATGTTTACACACCACACCAGGTACTCATTTGAGGCTGAGTCGACCTAGGTGGCCAGCACCAACAATGTGTGTGTGCACGTGTGTGTGTGTGTGTGCTGTGTGTGTGTGTGTGCACGTGTGTGCGTGTGTGCACGTGTGTGTGTGTACACACAAAGATAAAGACAAAGATCCCCCGTATAGCCCACTCACACTGTTGCGGCAAGTGCTGTAAGCGAGTACCAGCAGCGTCTATGAAGACAAAAGCCCCCGGCCGCCTTTGTCTCTCCCAGTGCGGATGTGTTCACACGCAGACCGGCAAGTTGCAATAGAAGAACGACCCGAAAGTCAACGTCACCCACCTCGTCCACCTCGTCCACCTCGTCCACCTCGTCGCCGGCTCCCTCCGCGCGGTGTCGGGGTGGATACCCTGCCCGGTCCCTCTGCGCTAGAGTGTCGGTCACTCCGTCTCTCACTCACTCTGTGTGTGTGTGTCTGTGTGTGTGTCTGTGTGTGTGTCTGTGTGTGTGTCTGTGTGTGTGTGTGTGTCTGTGTGTGTGTGTCTGTGTGTGTCTGTGTGTGTGTGCCTGTGTGTGTGTCTGTGTGTGTGTGTGTCTGTGTGTGTGTGTGTGTCTGTGTGTGTGTCTGTGTGTGTGTCTGTGTGTGTGTGTCTGTGTCTGTGTGTGTGTGTCTGTGTGTGTGTGTGTGTCTGTGTGTGTGTCTGTGTCTGTGTGTGTGTCTGTGTCTGTGTGTGTGTGTCTGTGTGTGTGTCTGTGTGTGTGTGCCTGTGTGTCTGTGTGTGTCTGTGTTTGTCTGTGTCTGTGTGTGTGTCTGTGTGTGTGTCTGTGTGTGTGTCCTTCACTTTCTCTGTGTGTGTGTCTCTGTGTATGTGTCTGTGTGTGTCCTTCACTCTCTGTGTGTGTGTGTCTGTGTGTCTGTGTCTGTGTGTGTGGCTGTGTGTCTGTGTGTGTCTGTGTGTCTGTGTGTCCTTCACTTTCTCTGTGTGTGTGTCTGTGTGTGTGTCCTTCACTCTCTGTGTGTGTGTCTGTGTGTCTGTGTCTGTGTGTGTGGCTGTGTGTCTGTGTGTGTCTGTGTGTCTTTCACTCTGTGTGTGTGTGTCTGTGCGTCTGTGTGTGTGTGCCCCTCTCTCTCACTCTGTGTCTCTCGCTCTCACTTTGTGCCTCTATCCGTGCCTCCCTCTTTGTGTTTGTGCCTCTCTGACTCTCTGTTTCTCTATGTGTGTCTCTCTCTGTGTCTCTGTGTGTCTCTCTCTCTCTCTGTCTCTCTGTGTGTTTCTCTCTCTGTATCTCTGTGTGTGTCTCTCTGTGTGCGTCTCTCTGTGTGTGCCTCTCTCACTCTCTGTGCCTCTCTGTGCCTCTCTGTGTGTGTCTGTCTCTGTCTCCTTGTGCCTCTCTCTGTCTGAATGTCTCTCCCCGTGTCCTCCCTCCCTCTCACTGTGCGAGATTTTCTCTCGCCGCTTCTCCCCCCTCTCCCCCCTCTCCCTGCCCCCCTCCCTCTCCCCCTCCGTGATTGACAGCACCACGCGCCAGGGTCAGGCCGGGCTCCTTGTGACGTCACGGCGGTGCTGATTATAATTAAATTAATAAAGAATTTAGATTTGACATCCGGTCATGCCGGTTCGTTAGCTCGTTCACGTCGTTGTTGCAATTACCTCGAATTAGCATAAATTATCGAGTCGGCAACGCTACGATCCTAGATTCAGATGTGTGACAAAATTAGCTTCTTAGCTCATCGGATTCCTCCAGTATGAATAAACATTCTGATGCTGAGATCAATAGACTCACACAGAGACCCATAGACTCACACAGACACCCATAGACTCATCACACAGACACCCATAGACTCATCACACAGACACCCATAGACTCCTCACACGTAGACCCACAGACTCACACAGAGACCCAGAGACCCACACAGAGACCCACAGACCCATACATAGACTCACACAAAGACCCACACAGAGACCCACAGACCCACACAGAGACCCATAAACTCATCACACAGAGACCCATAGACTCATCACACAGACACCCATAGACTCATCACACAGAGAACCACAGACCCTAACACAGACCCACAGACTCAAACAGAGACCCATAGACACACACAGAGACCCACACAGAGACCCACAGACCCAATCAGAGACCCACAGACCCACACAGAGACCCACAGACTGACACAGAGACCCACACAGAGACCCACAGACACACACAGAGACCCACAGACACACACAGAGACCCACACAGAGACCCACAGACCCACACAGAGACCCACAGACGCACACAGAGACCCACACAGAGACCCACAAAGAGACCCACAGACACACACAGAGACCCACACAGAGACCCACAGACCCACACAGAGACCCACAGACTCACATAGAGACCCACACAGAGACCCACAGAGACCCACACAGAGACCCACAGACCCACACAGAGACCCACAGACTCACACAGAGACCCACACAGACACACACAGAGACCCACAGACCCACACAGAGACCCACAGACTCACACAGAGACTCACACAGACCCACACACAGACACACACACAGACACACACACAGACACACACACACAGAGACTCACACAGACACACACACAGACACACACAGAGACCCACAGACTCACACAGACACACAGACTCACACACAGACACACACACAGACACACACAGACAGACACACACAGACACACAGACTCACACAGAGACCCACTGACGTGGTTGTCGTGCGTGTCGGGAGGGGGCCACCACGTGGCCGCTGCTGCGAACTGCACCGCGCCGCGAGCCCTTCGCGCGGTGCCCGCGGTGGTTGGGGGGACCACGTGACCAGCCACTCACCCCCCACCCACTCACCTCTACTCACCCCCCACCCACTCACCCTCCACCCACTCACCCCTACTCACCCCTACTCACCCCCCACCCACTCACCCCCACTCACTCACCCCCCACTCACCACCCACTCACCCCCCACCCACTCACCCCCCACTCACCCCCCACTCACTCACCCTTACTCACCCCTACCTACTCACCCCTACTCACTCACCACTCACTCACCCCTGCTCACCCCCCACTCACCCCCCACTCACCTCCCACCCACTCACCTCTACTCACCCCCCCCCACCAACTCACCCTCCACCCACTCACCCCTACTCACCCCTACTCACCCCCACCCACTCACCCCCACTCACTCACCCCCCACTCACCACCCACTCACCCCCCACCCACTCACCCCCCACTCACCCCCCACTCACTCACCCCTACTCACCCCTACTCCTACTCACCCCTACTCACTCACCACTCACTCACCCCTGCTCACCCCCCACTCACCCCCCACTCACCCCCCACCCACTCACCTCTACTCACCCCCCCACCAACTCACCCTCCACCCACTCACCCCTACTCACCCCTACTCACCCCCCACCCACTCACCCCCACTCACTCACCCCCCACTCACCACCCACTCACCCCCCACCCACTCACCCCCCACTCACCCCCCACTCACTCACCCCTACTCACCCCTACCTACTCACCCCTACTCACTCACCACTCACTCACCCCTGCTCACCCCCCACTCACCCCCCACTCACCCCCCACCCACTCACCCTCCACCCACTCACCCCTACTCACCCCTACTCACCCCTACTCACCCCCCACCCACTCACCCCCACTCACTCACCCCCCACTCACCACCCACTCACCCCCCACCCACTCACCCCCCACTCACCCCCCACTCACTCACCCCTACTCACCCCTACCTACTCACCCCTACTCACTCACCACTCACTCACCCCTACTCACCCCCCACCCACCCCCCACTCACCCCCCACCCACTCACCCCCCACTCACCCCCCACTCACCCCTACTCACCCCCCACTCACCCCCCACCCCGACTCACCCCCCACCCACTCACCCCCCACTGTCCCCCCCACTCACCCCACCCCCACCTGTGGTGGAGATCAGCTGGGCAAACAGACACGGGGGGAGTGAGTGTGGGTGTGTGAGTGGGTGTGTGTGTGGGTGTGTGTGAGTGGGTGTGTGAGTGGGTGTGTGAGTGGGTGTGTGTGAGTGGGTGTGTGAGTGGGTGTTTGTGTGTATGTGTGAGTGAGTGTGGGTTTGTATGAGTATGTGTGAGTGGGTGTTTGTGTGTATGTGTGAGTGAGTGTGGGTTTGTGTGAGTGGGTGTGGGTGTGTGAGTGTGTGTGTGAGTGGGTGTGTGTGTGTGTGAGTGGGTGTGTGTGAGTGGGTGTGTGTGGGTGTGTGTGTGAGTGGGTGTGTGTGAGTATGTGTGAGTGGGTGTGGGGGTGTGTGTGTGTGTGTGTGGGTGTGTATGAGTGGGTGGGGTGTGAGTGGGTGTGTGTATGTATTTGTGAGTGAGTGTGTTGCGTGAGTGGATGGGGTGTATGTGAGTGGGTGTGTGTGAGTGGGTGGGTGTGGGTGACTGGGTGGGTGTGTGTGAGTGGGTGGGTGGGTCTAAGAACATTTGCTGGACTACATAGTGACGGAACAGCGGATACGGGCCCATGGTCTTGACACCAGGACCTACCGTGGAACTGATCTGCCCACTGACCATCGACTTGTTATCTGAAACATGCGCCTGCCATTCTTCCACTCCGGTGGTGGGTGTACACCCAGGACCACGTTTAAACCCACGGTGGCCTGGCCTTAGCTAGCTGATGAAAGTGGCCAGCGAGAATTTCATCATCACTTTCGGCTGGGGTTGGCATCGTCCCCCACTCCTCCTGATGTCGAGGGGAAATGGGCGAGGTTTAGGACTGTGGCTCATGTAGCTGCAATGGCTGTCTTGGGTACATGGTCCAGACCTCCCCAGAGACCCTGGCTGACGGAGGAGGTGTTAAGCCTGGCTGAGAAAAAGCGACAGGCCCACTCTCATCGTCTACAGCATCCCACGTCAGAGAATGAGGAGGCTTACCGCAGCCTTCGCTCGGAGGTTCGTGATGTTCGTGAAGCCTTCGATGGCTGTACTGGAGGAATTTCCATCTGGTACAGATACAATGGGAGGCTGATCGATGCCCGGGTGCAGTCAAGGGATGGCTTCCTATTGCTCAACCATGTTATGCATGCCGATGATCTGCTGCTGCTGAAACTGGAGCGTGCCACTAAGAGGTGGGGACTTACCATCAGCCCCACCAAAACTAAGCACCTGCCTGGGTATTTTGTCCCATCGGACACTCCACCCACACAACTCGCAATTGGTGATGGGGTAGTTGTGGAGAGAGTGGAGAGTTTCCCATACCTGGGCAGTGTACTCATGACCGGCTCCGGTTTAACAGCAGAGGTCTCACTCCGAATCAGTCGAGCGGAAATATCTTTTCATCGGTTGCGTAACGCTGTGTGGAAGCTACCTGATCTGTCGCTCCGCACGAAGCTTCAGGTCTTCTCGGCCACAGTCATTCCCTCCCTTCTCTACGCTTGCGAAACGTGGACCCCCCTAATGGAACATCTTCGCCGGTTAGAAACATTTAGGCTGGCCTGCTTACAATCCATCCTGGGATTAACCAGGGTGGATTGTGTGAGGAGCTCACAAATCCTTGAAAGATCTGGACAAAGTCCCATCGGTGAGCTCCTCCGGCAGGCAAGGCTGCGTTGGCTGGGTCAGGTAGCCCGCATGCCCAGCCACCGCATGCCTAAACAGCTTTTGTTCGGCCGGATAGAGGGGGATAAACGGGCACGGCACGGGCTAGAGAAGAGATGGAGTGATGTGGTACAAGAGGATGTGAAGCTGAGTGGACTTGCCAATGACCGGTACCAGCGGTGTCAAGATCGGCCTCTGTGGAGGAGGCTCGTGAAGGACGCTGCTACTGGGCAGTTGAAGGCAGTCGCCCTCCAACAACAACGGAGGGCAGAGGAGCAACGCTCACAACAACGAGCGGAGCGCCAGGTGGCTAAAGCACAGCAAGTTGGCACAATAGGCGGCACAGGTGGTGCATCAGCCAGTCATCTCGGTCTCTCAGTCAGTTGACCCGTGGCACCTGCTGGGTCTGCCTCGTGACCTCCTGCCAGCGGGCGTTCGACACTTCACGTGGCCTCAACGTGCACCTAGTCTGGCACACTAACATGCTAATCTCTATTCTTAGGTTTTTTTCGGTAAAGTCACTTTACCGAAAGAACCAAGAAGATGAAAAAGTCACGTAGGTAAAAAAATTAAAATTAATAAAAGTAAAATAAAAATAACATTTTATTTTTATTTTACTTTTATTAATTTTAATTTTAAAAAATTAATAAAAGTAAAATACAATTTTATTTGTATTTTACTTTTATTCATTTAAATTTTAAAGTCACGTAGGTAAAAAAATTAAAATTAATAAAATTTACTTTTATTAATTTTATTTTTTTTACCTACGTGACTTTACCGAAAAAACCTAAGAATATGAATCCTTGCAGTCACGAAAGCTTCAAAT